GATGGAAGGAATAGACTCTGAAGTGTCCCTGTTCGCAGATGACGTGAAGTTTGATGAGAAGAATTTAAATCGGACGAGGATGAGGCAGGATGCAAAGAGACCTGGAGAGGCTGGACATGTGGTCCAGTAACTGGCTCCTCGAAATTTAATCAGCCAAATGCAAAGTCATGAAGATTGGGGAGGGGCAAAGAAGACCGCAGACGAATATAGGCTAGGTGGACAAGACTACAGACCTCACTCAGGGGGAAAGACCTTGGGGTGACCATAACCCCCGAGTACATCACCGGAGGCACACATCAACCAAATAACCCCTGCAGCATACGGGCGCCTGGCAAACCTGAGAATAGCGTTCCGATACCCCAATAAGGAATCGTTCAAGACATGTACACTGTGTATGTTAGGCCCATACTGGAGTATGCAGCACCAGTCTGGAACCCACAACTGGTCAAGCACGGTCAAGAAGTTAGAGAAAGTACAAAGGTTTGCAACAAGGCTAGTCCCAGAGCTCAAGGGAATGTCGTACGAGGAAAGGTTAAGGGAAATCGGACTGACGACACTGGAGGACAGAAGGGTCAGGGGAGACTGATAACGACATACAAGTTACTGCGGGGAATAGACAAGGTGGACAGAGATAGGATGTTCCAGAGAGGGGACACAGGGACAAGGGGTCACAACTGGAAGCTGAAGACTCAGACGAGTCACAGGGACGTTAGGAAGTTTTTCTTCAGTCATAGGTGTCAGCAAGTGGAATAGCCTAGCAAGTGAAGTAGTGGAGGCGGAACCATACATAGTTTTAAGAAGAGGTATGACAAAGCTCAGGAAGCAGAGAGAGAGAGGATCCAGTAGCGATCAGTGAAGAGGCGGGGCCAGGAGCTGAGTCTCGACCCCTGCAACCACAATTAGGTGAAATTTTCAATTAGGTTTTGTACACACAACACACACACACACACACCCCACGTTTGGGAATACTTTATTTACAGTGAGCAAAATCGGTATTTTTCCAGAATTCTGTAAAATACCACTGTGGATAAAATACTTTGCCATTTCTTGAACATTTCTGAGTTCTCTGTATTCATTTATTTTATCGCACTCCAGTACTTTAAAGACGCAGGTGTGACATTTGTCCATCTGGCAAAGTTTACATTTCGTTTGGTCTACATTGGTGGTTGTGATTTGCCTGCCAAAGATACTTGTAACAAGCCGGAGCGGGCGGTAGTGACATCCAAGGTCTGCTTATTTTGTTGGATGCAACATAGACATGTGGCTCTCCTGTATGATGGAATGATGATAGATGGGCTGACTTGTCAGTCTCCCTGAGTTTTAAGTCAATAAAATTCAGATGAAGTTCTATTCGTATTATTCTCAAAAATGCTAACTGAACAAGCCATGATTGTAATCTATCCCCCTCTTTGAGAGAGTATAACTTAGCCAGTTCATCAGTTTTATCATGCATCTGAAGACCAGCTGTATAGCCTTGTGGCTTAGCGCTTCTTTTTGATTATATAATTGAAGACCAATGTGAGATGGATTCCACAGATGTGCACTTGACTCAACTGTCCCACAATCTTACCTACCTGTGTCTGGCTTCTGACATAAGCATGCCACAATTTATACTTAATGAGTTAAGAGCATTTATGGATGACAGAGAATCGTTACAATTAAAATGTCAACCTTAGATACATGGGCGCACTTGAGCACAAGGAGTATGGCAAACAGTTCTGTCTGAAGGGTAGAGGCCCAGTTATTGATGCGTGCTCCAATTTCTTTAAGAGAGCCATCACCTTGTATGACAACAGCAGCTCTACCAGCTGCACCGTGGTTTGGTGAAAAGGAACTATCAACGTAAATAATTTGTGAAAAAGTGTTCTGTGTGACTAAATTATCAATACGCTTAAGGCATCCTGCTTGGCTCAAGGCGAAGCTATGGTTGTGGTTTAAGAAGTATTTTGGGGGGAAATGGAGGGATGGTAGTTTGGAATGGAGCAATTCCAATGGAGGGGGAAGTGTCGCTGTTGCCTTACTTGACATACTTGATAATGTAGCTGGTTTTATGCGGAGGTTTGGTTCCAGTTTTTTCAATCCATCTGCAGGGGTGTTCACCAGTGCTGAGGAAAGTTTGGAGGGCTTCTGTGCGCAGGGGTTTTTAAGGGCTAAACCCAAGCATATTGACCCCAATGAGGATATTTCTTTCAGTAACACGGTCTCTGATACTTTGGAATATAAAGTTCTTTCCCCATATTTAAAATTTTGGCAGTAGAGGGCATCCCAGGATGATCCTCATTGCTTCGTTCTGCAGTTTTTCCATCCTCCACGCTTCCAGTCAGACACAAGAGCAGTAGTGGCGCAGCATAATCTACCAGTGATCTATATAAGCAAGATGTATCATTTTCACAATTTAACTTTAGCACAATACCTTGGATGAAAACTTGCCACAACTCTAAGTACTCTCAGCCTGTCTTTGTATTGGCGACAAATATAATAGGCTCTCCCCACTTTGCATGTAGGTCCCCTACTTTCAATTACTTTCTCACTTGGTTCGTTATTATTATAATAAAAAAGAAGCACTAAGCCACAAGGGACTATACAGCGCTGCAGGGCAGGAAGGAAGCGGGGCATCAGGTGGCAAAAGGGAGATGGAATGAGTAATAGGTTACGATAACAGCGGGGCAGTGGATGGTGAAAAGGGTAAAGGGCAGTAAGAGACTGAACTAGAAAGGGCTGAGGGGAGTGCGAAAAGTATCAGAGTTTGTGAGTAAATCAGTCGTTGGGCAAGAAGTCAATGAGAGAGTTTAGGATTAAAGGAGGGTTCCATCAGCAAGAAGGGAAGGTAAAGAGAGAGTAGTAGAACGAAGACGACGTTGGAGGTAAATTCTGCGTGTCGTTGATAGAGGGGCAGTCTAACAGAATGTGGCTAAAAGATACTGGAACTTGACACTGCTCACAGAGAGGAACAGGGTGCCTCTCCATGAGATACCCCTGAGTAAGGGCGAGTGTGCCAATGCGAAGGCGGGAGGGGAGGGGTGGTCTCCCAACCTCGGCACTGATGACAAAAAGACGGCCGTAACCTATGCTCGGTTTAATAGAATGAAGTTTGTTACCAAGCAGAGTTGACCAACGTTGTTGCCAACAGGTGCGAAGGTGGGTAGCTATTGCAGCAAATAGTTTCCCGAAATGGAACACCTCGATAGGAAATTGGTTTTGGTCATGTACTGCTGACCGCGCAGCAGTGTCTGCCTGTTCCCTTGCCCTGTACATCGACATGACCAGGGGGACCCAACAAAAAACAATATCTTTGTTTGGTAGAGATACGGCGTAGCCAAAGTTGGGATACGGAGAACTAGGGGATGAGGGTGTATCAAATTTTCATATAGCCCTGTAGAGCACTAAGGGGTCTGAGACTACTACAAATGTGACACAGGCATAGATGCGATCGAATAAGTGCCCGCAAGAATGGCATACAGTTCAGCAGTAAAATGCTAGCTGAAGATAGTAAATGTCCCCGCACGCGCTTGTTCAAAAACACTCAACATTTTCCTAAAATTTATGTCTACCACTCCCCTCTTCTACAAGTGCATAAACATTTAGTTTAACCTATTTTTTGCATCCGACCCTTATTTTAATATGATAATCCTTGAATTTTACATTTATTACCGCTTTTCCCGTCGTAACGGATCCTTCACCATTTATTGCTACTCCTTCCTTAGCTTTAACTGAACATAAAATGTACTGCGTAACTGACTCACGAAATCGTAATGACACGATTGCAAACATACCATACCACGGGCGGGGATAGAAACCCCCGATCAGTCTCAAAACTCCAGACCGTCGCGTTAGCCACTGGACTAGCTGCAAACAATAAGATTAGTCCAACTAGGTATATTTCTACACCATAGGAAGGTTAGCATAGGCACCACTGTGACCACAAATTCAAGTTTTACAGACGAATCTCCAGCTAGCGTGGCCGTGACGAAACTCTAGCTCAAGTCCCCTCAAAGTCGTTAACAATGACTTACGAAATCGTGAGTCATGGTATGGTTTGTTTGCATCGTTTCATTACGATTCGCGAAATCATGTTAAACGGCCCTTTTAGGGGACTTGAGCTGAGTTCGTCACGGCCACGCTAGCTGGAGATTCGTCTGTAAAAACTTGAATTTGTGGTCACAGTGGTGCCTATGCTAACCTTCCTATGGTGTAGAAATATACCTAGTTGGACTAATCTTATTGTTGCTAGCTAGTCCAGTGGCTAACGCGACGGTCTGGAGTTTTGAGACTGATCGCGGGTTCTATCCCCGCCCGTGGTATGGTTTCATGTACTGCGTATGTTGCACGCACAAACTGTATATGTATTACATGCACACTGTATATATATTACACACACATACTGTATATATTACACACGTACTATATACAAACATTATCTCGGTCCACAGCAGGATTCGAACTTGCAAACTCGGCATCAGAGCACACAGTACTTAATCCAAAACGCCAGACTCCAGCAGGAATAAGAACTGTGTACTCTGATGCCGAGTTTGCAAAGTTCGAATCCTGCTGGGGGTTGAGATAAAGTTTGTAACTAATTTTACCTGTTGGCGATTGTTAAGCACACGTACTGTATATATTACGTACTGTATGTGTTACACATACTGTATACATACATACTGTATGTGTCAAATACACTTACTGTGTAGATTTAAGTGAATTACAACAACAAAAATTTCCTGTTTTTTTTAAAATCATTAAAGAATCATTGACTGGAGTTGTAATAGCCTTTTTCTTTTCTTTCCAAAACCTCTCGACCACTATCCTGCCCCTCCTCGTCCTCACTGTTCTCTTCACTCCATCTTGTAAACTATCAATCTTGTAAATCATCCTTCTGTTTTAATTTCTCGCGCACTGAAACCGACATTTTCATCCATGAACCGGATGTCTCTCTCTGTACCTTTCTCCCCCTCCCTCCCTCATCACCCCCCCCCCCCCGCATCACCGGAGTGGGGGTACAGGCTCAGCTGGTACCGTGTGAGTGGTGTGGTCGTACCTTCTTCCCTGAGCGACTGGAGGTACACCAGCGAGGTTGTAAGCCACCACCTGGACAACCCAAGAAGTCTACCAAGGTCAGTCTCTCTCACCGCCTTCCTCGCCACCACACCTCCCTCGCCACCACACCTCCCTCGCCACCACACCTCCCTCGCCACCACACCTCCCTCGATACCACACCTCCCTCGCCACCACACCTCCCTCGCCACCACACCTCCCTCGCCACCACACCTCCCTCGCCACCACACCTCCCTCGCCACCACACCTCCCTCGCCACCACACCTCCCTCGCCACCACGCATCTCATCACTACACGTATCATCACTGCGTGTCGTCACATGGCCTTACACGTCATCGCTACACGTGTCATCACGTCATCGCTACACGTGTCATCACGTCATCGCTACACGTGTCATCACGTCATCGCTACACGTGTCATAACCAGCAGACACTGCTAACATAAGTCATGGTTCACAGAATCGTCAGCAGTCACCAGGATCATCACTCAACTCATCTATGAGTCCATCGATTAAGCCAACGCTGGTGTGTTACATCTGTGGCCGTGAGTTTGGCACCATGAGTCTAGCTATCCACGAGCCACAGTGCCTCAGGAAGTGGAAGGCAGAGAACAGCAACCTGCCACAGCACATGCAGCGTCCTGAACCACGCAAGCCAGAGGTTATCTATGATGGTGAGACATTGTGTTGTGCCTTATGTGTTGTGTGGTGCTGGCTTGAAGCCTTGTGTGTTTGGTGCTGGCTGAAGTCTTGTGTATAGTGTGGTACTAGCTGAAGCCTTTTGTGGTGCATGGTGAAGCTTTGTTAGATGGAACCTTGTGTGTTGTATGGTGCATGGTGAAGCCTTGTGTATTGTGTGGTGCTGGCTGAAGCTTTGTGATGCATGGTGTATTGTGTGGTCTGATTGAAACCTTGTGTGTTGCTGTCTGAAACTTTGTATGGTGTGGAGGTTAATAGCCTTATGTTGTGGTTAAGTCTTTTACTGCGTGGTGGTTAATAGCCGTGCTATTGGTGAACACTGTTGTACAACCACAGTAATGCTGAACTTTGTTGTACTGCCACAGTAATGTTTAACAATGTTTTATAATCACATTACTGTAGGAGAATATTATACAACCACATTAATGTTGAACATTGTTATATATCCAGACAAATTACTACTGACCAGTGTTGCATATCCACGCATCTCTACTACACTGTTGAATTCCATACACACAGTTATAGTGGACTATTGTTGGTAACGTGTGGTAACGTCTTCGTTGTCCTACACAGATCAAGGCAACATCAACCGTGAAGCGATGGCAGAGGCAGCGTGGCAGACACACCTTGAGCAGCTGGTCAAGTGTGAGAAGTGTGGACGAACCTTCTACCCCGACCGTCTCATCGTGCACCAGAAGGTCTGCCGCAAGGAGACCTGAGTTTCGCCCTAGTTATACCTACCTACCCCCCCCCCTCTCTCTCTCTCTCTCTCTCAAGGATGTCTGAGAAAGACTTGGATCTTGATCCTTCCACATACTTCCTCCTCAATCCTGTCTCCTTCATAAAGGCAGGTCCGTAAAAAAGAATTTAAGATCTTGGTTCACCCGCCCATCTTCTAGTACATCTACCTTCCTTCACAAGGACATGTCTAAGAAAAACATAAGAATCTCGATTTTCCTCTTTCATCTTCCACTCATCCAAACTTCTCCCAGGAAGCTCTCCGTGCCAGGTACCACAGCTACAGATGCGGTCTCTCACCAGTAACGTAATTTGTCCCCAGAATCATCATCGCCACGATTGTTTACGACTCAACATGCATCACATTAATCTGCCCAGAAATATGTTGGAAGACTACCTAAACTTCTTATTATTTTCCCCTCATATTCTTGTACAAGACGATTAAAAGGCGGTTGGTAATCATCAACTTGTAAATATTTTTGAGAGGTCAGTATTAAGCACACGCCCTCACAAACTTCCTACGGGGACTCGCAACTAACATTAGAGATAAGTCTTTAGGCAATGTTTCTGCTCCTCTAGAAAGTTTTTTAAGACAACTGAGAAGACTAAATGGGGGATGGGGGGGGAAGGGAAAAGGAGGAAGGGGTAAAGGAAGAGTAAGTCAGAAGAGTCGAAGTACAGGACAACCGGAGGTCAGGTCAAGAGTGTTCTTGTATGGCAGGGAACGTTGTCTCAAGGTTCTTCTCCATGTTTTGGGGGTTGCTACTGGCTCAATCACGGTATTGTGACTATTATTCTCCACACAAGATGTTCGTCAGTGTAACATATTGGCAGCTTCAGTCTGAATAATACTGTGACCTTAAACCTTAGTGTCATGCCAGACAGAGGTTGATCTTCAGGCAAGGCTGGATGAGGTGCTGAGACAATTAACTTAAATCTTAAGGGGCACGTCAGTTCCCTTGTTTTCTAACATGCTATTTTCCCCCTATAATCTACCTTGTCCATAATTACTATGCGTTTGCTTTCCTTTCGTAAGGTGAAGTCTAGAATTTTTCCTTAATTCTTGGTATAATTTAACAAATCTTTGAGGACAGTTGTGTTGCAGAGGTCTGAGCTGTGCCCAGACCTCTGCAACACAGTTGTCCTCAAAGATTTGTTAATACCCTTCAGAGGGCAAGGCAGACCAAAATGCGAATTTGAAAGTGATTTCGTATGAGGGGATAGAGCCGCTCGATGTAAGGTCAATGAGGCCATATAAATGGAGTTGTAAAAGTTGTGTTGAGCAACTGCAGACATGCTTAGCCCGAGTAAACTCGGTCCTGCCCGTTAAGGGTGTAACAATTTAAAATGTTGCAAGGCTGCAACTGTTAAAAAAAATATATATTTTAAATTTATTATACAAGTAGACAATATAAAAAACATAAATGGAACTTGTCTCTGAACAATTTGTAAGCATTAAAAAAATAGAAATAGGAACTACTTATTAACAATGACACATTGCAATGGGATAAAACTTACAAATGAAATATTCCTGAGTTCCCTGAGAAAGAACAATCATTTTACATCACTAATTTCTGCAATGAAACTTTATGAAACAATTTCTATCCTTCTTGATGCATAGATTTACTTTGCATGTGGCACAGGAAAATGAGGATATGACATGATTATTCTTTTTGCTGCAATACTTGCATGTAAGCAACTATCTTCTTGTTCAATTTCTGCTTTTTGGTTGGTGGCACAGCTTCCTCCTCATCTGTGACACCTCTGCATCTTGTGTCAAGTATTCATCACCACTGTCCACCAATTCCAGGTCATCTGGGTCTTGATCCGAGTCATTTTTGTCCCAAACACAGACAAATTTTGACTTATCGTTGGAGGACTCGCCATAGAACAATTTCTGATTGATCTGGAAGGACAATAAAAACTTTCTGTACACACCCAGATCATTACTGAATTCATATATACACTACCAAATTTTATGTAAATATTTATCTACTGAAACTTGAAAACATCACCTAAATGGGCAGGGCCGAGTGTACTTGGTCCTCTTTTGTTGCCCTTTTTTTCATTTGCATGGTGCAATCTTATTATGCTTCACAACGCCTTTATATATATATCAAAATATAGCTAAACTATTCATTTATGCACTAGACACACAAATAGGTACTTACCAACATTGTAGAGGGTGAAATGCAAGATTATATGAGGAGCACTCGACGAAAAACACGAGTCTGGGCGACGCCAAGCTAGAAGTGTTTGCATTTTGCTCTCTCGACCAATGGGAAGCAAGGAGACGCCATCTCCTTTAGCTGGAGCGACTCAGAGAAGGCTTGTGATTGGTCAGAAATAGAGAATGGGAACCCAGATGCACTGGGGAGTAGGAGGACACTTGCAAAAACCACGCTCTCAGGCCCGACTAAACTCAGGCCTGCCCTCTAAAGGGTTTTAAGTTATACCATGAATTAAGGAAAGATTCTAGACTTTACCTTACGAAAGCAAAGCAAACGCAATAGTAATTATGGATAAGGTACCTGGAGTTTACCTGGAGGTTATTATATTATAGGGGAAAAACACGATATTAACAGACAGGCAAACTCGCGCACCTCTTAAGGACCTTAGCTAGTAGCTTCAGGGAACAATGGTGTAATGCTAGACGGAAGCAGACCTCCAGATATGACCGTCTGGGGGTGGGAAACCATTTAACTTTTGTCTAAGAAGCAACGTTATCAACAGTGATGGTTGAATGGTGTGTTATCCACAGCTGTGTCGATTCACACAATTATGTCGAACCAGTGTTTATTCAGAGAACGTTTTGCTTTAAGATGAGCTTATTCAAGATGAGAAATTGACAAAATATAGTTACATCGAAGGATACACAAATTACCCGCACGTAGAAGCCTGAAACTTGCGTTTCAGTATGACTTTATTTACGACTTTGTGCCCAGGCAAGGGATTAAGTCACAGATGAACGTTTAGTGGGAGGGTAAGTGTACATATAATAGAGAGCCTGACGTGATGTTTTTAAACTTGAGGGAAAAGCTCTAATTAGAAACGTTCTCCAAATAAATGCTCTTTCTACAAGTGATTCTGACAACAAAATAAGCAGTACTAATAAATTAGGTAAACCCAAAAAGTTCGGCACCAGGACATAACTTGATAAATTAGCAAATGTTTACATAATGTTCCGAATAACTGACGAAGCTCCCAGCGAGCTCATGAGACCGGTACTACTTGACACATCTGTGTTATACCATCTTTGACCTGCCTGTGACCTGAGAGAGACGCACCTGGCTCCCATGCGTTCAACATTGTGCTCACGTCTCGTTTTGTATGCTTTAGTACGATTATACAGATTCCAAAAATGTTTACTGTGTGTAAATAAAGAGTATTTTAATGCCGTATTATTTTATTTCAAGTTTCCCATATTCTGGAAGGTAAAGTTATGAAATAATAGGTAAATGGAAAAAGTTTAAAATGTTTACTTTGTATCAATGAGTATTTGGTGAGACGCCATTATGAAAGTAATGTGGCATGTATATGTGAACATCAATGTATGGAACTCCTAATGTATATCATAAAATGTGTTTTCTCGTATATATACACCCAGAGATGTTTGTAGCGTCCACCGAGAGATGTATATCTTTATTGTGTATGTACCGATAGATGTGCAGCCTTAGTGTAGATACGAGAGGTGTGCCTCTGTATATACACAGAAGAGGGGTGTGTAGTTTGTTTTTTATAGTCTGTCCGTACACTGAAGGACCACAGCTGTGTTCATGTTTTCAATGTTTTATCTATGGTGTAATGTTGAATGTTGTGAATGTAGCACTTGGTACCTGTTCTGCAGCTTGTCACTCTGGAGACCACCTGACACTGCAACACGGTGGTGGTGGTGGTGTGGTTTGTGCCAAGGAAGGGTTGTCACTCTCCCCAAAGGGTGTTTGACCCTTGTGGGCTTTCTGCTTGATTTAATAATAAAAATAATCAACCATAAAAAAATAATGCACAGGGTATTTTCCCGACTGAGAACCCAGTATTTTGATCTCGACAAGGTGAGGATATTCCGCAGTTTTCCGACAGACTGAGGGGACTTTGGATATGGATTACAGGTTGTAAACAGATTCTAAATAGTTTTGCTTCTTTGTAATTATGATTTGCGTAATACAAGGCTTAACTGATGATGACAGTAGCAAGTAGATAATTATCTAAGCTTGTTAATGTTATAAACCGGAATACGTTTAAAGCCCTGAATACCAGACTTTTTTTTTTTTTTTTTTTTTTTTTTTTTTTAAATCGTGAAGAACTGTCAAGTGTTCAATGTACAAAACAAAAATGGTGTTCTAAATTGTTACCGTTTTCATATTGTCAACGACATTTTAACCTGAAGTTTTCTTTTTTTTACTGCATACTATTGTTCAGTTTAATACTGTGATGTCCACCTTTTGCTTTTCCTATGAAGAAATATTACTTCTTTCGCAGCTATACGTTTTGTTGTGTGGGTTCTTAGGGAGATTCTGGGAGAAGTAATACACTCGTTGGATGTCTTGGTAGCGTATAATATGGCGAGCTGTATAGCCCTTGTGGCTTAGCGCTTCTTTTTGATTATTATAATAATAATATGCCAGCCCTTGCCCAGTCTGTAGGTCTACGGGAACTCAGGGCAGACGCCCGAGGTAGGCGTTGCAAATGAGCAGGACTCGTGACGTCATAGCTAGCCAGGAAGCATCTCCATAGTAACGATTTAACAGTATACTACACAGTAGTACTACTGACATTGTGAGAGAAGGAAAGAACAACCACACGGAAAAAGGAACCCCATATTCGGGCTTCTGTACGTAAAAACAATGAAATATTAGAGCGGAGACACAGGGACTGAGGCAGAGTATATATCATGATAAACTTGGCTTCACGAGTGATAAAGGTGACACCGTGAAGATGCATGTGTCCTGGGTTCAGATAGTGACAGGTCCATCACTACCTCGCCCACCATTAGTCGCCAGAGGTCATGCGGGGTCACATTTACCTACATAAGGGTCAGCGACTCATGTCTGAGTGATCATCTGTATCAACCTTCCTCTAGTGTACATACGTCAAGTGCTGTCTAGCAAACTATCTAGTTTCTAACGATTCCTAGAAAAGCAGTGACGGCGCCAGAGAAGGAAGACTGGAGAGGCCTTAGTCTCACTCAAATATAATGCATCTTTAAAACGAGTCCTCCCGTACACCCTCTAATTCTCGAGATAGACTTCACCACCAGGAACCTCCTTCACTGACCCCTAGACAGAGGCTTCACCGCTAGGAGCCTTCACTGACCCCTAGACTGAGTTTTCACTACCAGGGACCACCTTCACTAACCCCTAGACTGAGGCTTCACCAGAAATCTCACTGATCCTAGAGTGAGGCTTCACCTCAGGAATCTCCCTCACTGACCCCCTAGAGTGGGGGATTTTAGTGTAGTATAAGAATGAATACAGTATTAAAAGACCACTGTTGGTCTTGAGGTACTCATCTTTACGTGATTCTGGGGTCTCCTACGATACCGGCTATGTTATTTCCCACTGGGATGTAATAGAGCGGATTACTATAATTAACACACCCTCGTGACATATTCCTGTATGTCAAGGGTGTACTAGGCGAGGCTTACCTGTGTTTGGGCGATGGCCCGCCTATAACTGCTTCGATGGTTTACTCCCCGAGCACCTAACCCTATCCACTGCAGTGTTTCATTAGGCTGATGTTGGGGGAATAGAACTTACCTGGCTCATAGCGGGAGCCCTTGATGTTACCACGTCAGTGAAGCCCGTATTGATGGCCTCATTGAAGCCTGGTGGCAAAAGCTCTCGCTTCACACAGTGAGTGTCCGGGTTCGATTCCCGGCGAAGGGGTGGAAACATTGGACTTTTCTTACACCGGTTGTCTATGTTCACCCATCAGTAAAATGGGTACCTGGGTGTTAGTCGACTAGTGTGGGTCGCATCCTGGGACAAAACT